TTTAACACTTGACACAATTCAAATATATACATATACATATATATATATATAGTATTGAACTTGAATTTATATTAGTAGCTAGAACAACAACACGAACTATGTCGTTTAAGAAACATGACACTTATGTCTATCAATTATCTCAACCGGTATTAGATTCCTTGGAATTATTATATTTCGATGATAAATTAAATGTATGCCAACCTTCATCACCTACAGAACTACCAATAACAACATCACCATCGTTCTCTAAAGTGAGCGAAACTATTAAAAATGGAGCTAGCACTACTAATCTTCATTGTAATACTTGCAATGTTGATCTTGTGGATATTACTCAACAGAGAGCTCATTATCAAAATGAATTACATACTGTGAATTTAAAGAGAAAGTTTCATGGTTTATCGCCTGTATCTGACCTTCAAAAATTAAATGAAGAATCTAAGAAGACAAAGGAGTCCAATACTACTACGACAAATCACGATGAAAATGATAATCAAACAGCGACTATTCTCGAAGAAAATGAAAATAGTACAGGCTCAGAAGATGAATCAGATGAAGATAATGAATCAGATGAGGATGACATATATAAGGAAAATTCTCCTTCATTAGACTCTCAATTCAATTCATTAACACCATTCGAAGAAAATGAAAAGACGGAAAGTCATTTAATGAATCAAACACCTTATGTTCTATTTCAATCAAAAATGATAGAGAAAAAACGTTCAGTGTTTGGTGCTTATAAAGTCTTATTCAATAACGACCAGTTACAAAATCCACGAGAGACCTTAAATCAATGGAGTCAAAATATAGAATCCACATCAAATAAATTTTCAGCAATTTTTATGATTGGTGGAGGTCATTTTGCAGGTGCAATCATTTCACATCAAAGATTAAATATTTCAGGAAACTTAAGAAAACAGAATATCTCACAACAAGAACAAGCTACTTTATTTTTAGAACACAAAACTTTCCATAGATACACTACAAGGAGAAAACAAGGTGGATCTCAATCTGCAATGGATAACGCTAAGGGTAAAGCAAATTCTGCAGGGTCTACTATTCGTAGATACAATGAAGCCGCTTTGAAAATTGATGTTCAAACTTTATTAAAAGATTGGAAACCATATTTAGATGATTGTGAAAATATTTTCATTAGAGCTAGAAGTGCATCTGATCGTAGAATATTTTTCGAAGAAGATTTCTTGCAAAAGAATGACATAAGGATTAGAAACTTACCTTTCACTACAGGGAGACCAACAGTAGGTGAGTTGAAAAGATCATGGTGTGAATTATCATATCTAAAGATAACTGATTTACCTAATCCAATTGTCGTAAAGGAAAATACAACAGCTAAAGAGTCCAAGAAGAAATCAAGATCTTCAAGTTTGGAGGTATCACTTACCACTGAGGAAAAACAAACTGATGAGATTGTTCAATTATTGAAAAAGGGAAGAGCTCCTCTATTAATATCATACCTTAGAAAAAATAAAATAGATAAAGATTTCTTGCTGGTACCAAAAACAAAATATGCCACCACCCCGACAATGTTACACTACTGTTCTCAGAATGGTTTAAAACAGATGATTTTAATATTGTTAACTAATTTAAAATGCTCCCCAACAATCCAAAACAATAATGGTAGGACAGCGTGGGATCTAACAAAATCAGAGATTGTTAAACAATCATTCCAAATTGCAAGACATAATATGGGTGAAAACTTTACTTCTTGGGAGGATGCACATGTTGATAAACCACTAAGTCGTGAAGAAGTTGAATTGATCAATAAGAAATTAGAAGATGAAGAGAAATCTGAAGTAGATAATATTGTGAAGAGAGAATTGCAGAATGTAAAAGAAAGACAAAAAGAAGATTACGAGAAAAAGAATGGTAAAGGTCATGCTCTAAATGCACCAACTTCTATACCTAGCATATCCATGGAACAAAATCTAAACTCTTTAACAAGCGATCAGAAACGCAGACTGATGAGAGAACAACGTGCTAGAGCGGCAGAAGCCAGAATGCAACAGACTAAATAGATTATTTAAAAACAGATATACGTATGAAATAAACAACAAATTTTCGAACTTGAAATCACATCATCTTTATTACCATCTAAGATGTATATAACATATTAAAAAAACAATGCGCAGAACTACTCAGACCAGGATTCATTAGAGGTAATTTCTATATTCTTCACATTACCCTTTTCACCCTTTTTTGGTTTTAACTTTGGGACATTCAAAGTTAAGACACCACTAGAGTAATCGGCTTTAATCTTATCAATATCAATATCTGGATATTCAGGTATTGTGATAACCCTCTTAAACCTACCAGAGAAACATTCCTTAACCTTAACATTATGTTTATTAACTTCAGTGACGGTGCTTGGAATTTCACCACTAATAGTAAGTTGACTCTTGTTATGATCATATTCAACGCTAATATCTTTCTTGGCCTTAACTCCAGGAACAGTAACATTTAATACATAATTATTGTCATGTTCTAGAATGTCCACAGGAACAGCCATATGAGCACCAGTTTCTGCACCAAATGGAACCAAAGAAAAATCGTTATCAAACCAATCATCAAGATGGGTGGTCGGTCTAGTAATTACTTGGTCATGGCGCCTATTGTTAGCCCCAAGGGTTACTTGGTTGGCATACCTTTCATGATGTGGATTAGTCTTTAGTCTTTTATTATTTGTAGTATTAATATCAGGGTTAAAAAATCTATTGAAGTCTTCAACTTCATTGTTAATGGAATCAAAAAAACTATAGTATGGGTTGAAAAAGGACATTAAAATATATTAATTTAATTACAGTGATAATGAAAATTATTGTTTTTGTTGATATATAGACTATAGAAGATCATAATTTTTTAAAATGAATTGAGTTTTCTGAATATATATACTCTTCCCTTATATATATTGTGTCATGTATGATACTGACAAGTATGTGTTTTACCCTTTCTATTAATAGTAATATAACTACTATTAACCATAAAAAGGGATACAATATGGATGATAATTGTTGCTACAATTATATTCCATAGGGATACCATATACAAAGTAGTTAAGGAACAGACAATATATATTACATATAACCTGACTGCAGGAATAATAAAAGTCTTAAAAAGAAATTCAGTTCGGATTATTATATTTTAGGTAACATAACCCATGAAAAACTCCGAGAACTTGGACAGTCGCTTTAAGGGACTCCCAGCAAATATATTTCTATTTCTAGTTATTAAGTTTCTATAATCACAGAGCATGACCAAGGAAATTAGCTCATTCTACCATACTTTTTTGTTCTATTTTGCAGTGACAAATAGAAACTGCTAGAAAAAAAAAGTATTACTTGTTAATCAATAGTAGTGAGATGATCAGAAGTTAATATTACTGTTCATATTTCTTCGTATTCGTTAAATTATCTCTAATTAAAAATAACTCATGACATCTTCTAAGGACGAAGACAAGAATGGTGAATATTTAGACTAACTTCTTCAAAATGTTATTGCTTTTTAAGGTCCCACTTACAATTTTGAGACATGTTTAAATTGCATTCGGGGTATGAGAGAATCTTAAACAGTTTTAGTAGTTATTAATTATTAAATTGATGAATTGTATGTATGTATATCAGGGTATATGTAAAAAATTACGAATCAAATGTAGTCAAAAAAAAAAAATAAATGACAGCAACGAAATTTGTAAAGATGAATTATAAGCAGTTTTTTTGAAACGTGTCTCTATAGATTAATCATGTTAACTATGATTTTTTCTTTTTCAAAAAGAGAAAAATCTGTCAAACTGAAATGTGAAATAAAAATACAACAATGAAAAAGCACATATGAGAGTTCTTGTATCACTCACTGTATTTAAAGTTGCAATTGGGAATATTTTAAATTAAATGAAATCTAGAACAGTTCTAGAGAATTTGTTGTTGTTCAAACGATTTAGTTCAGGGGTACTTTCATTAGAGGATACACTAATACCAATTTCTTGTGGGTCCAGCCACGATCCATTGTCTCTCATATTATCCTCAATCATAAATAGTGCTTTAGTACCTTGTAGAGATCCTGTACGTGATTTATTATTTTTATTATTATTAGTCAATTGTATTGTATCTAATTCTTCATACAATAAATCACGTAAATTAGTAGAATTACCATTAGAGAAAAGTGATGATGTAGCGCTCCGATTTGATGCTATTGATGTCTCTGAATCACTTCTAGTTGTATTCTGTTCATCGTTTACTAAATGTTGTGCACTCAATCCTTTAACTGCAAGATTATAATCTCTAATAATATTACCATCTAGCATCATACTACTTCTCTTCAACATCTTAGCCCGTGCCTCCGATGATCTAGATGAAATTTCTCTCCTGCTAGATAATCTAACTGGAACTGCTGAAGTATCTATTGGAATTGGATCAGAAATGTAATCTAAAGGTGTTTGATTATTCTCAGTTTTATCCTGATGTAAACTAAAGGAATTAACCATAGTCTCCATAAACATGGATTGTCTCTTAGAACTATCTCTATGATTTCTGGTCTTCTTTCGTAACATTTTATATTCGAAAGAAAGACAGTTAATTAAAATAATTCGATAGAGGATATGGATTAAATATTAACTTTACTATCCAGTTAAATTTACTTAACGCGTTAAGTTGTGCTAAAATGTATAAAAACTTGTATTAAAAAGAAAAGGTATACTGTTTAATTATGAGCGAGTGATATATCAACTTATAAAGTTAAGCCTAAGGTAGTAATAACAATATAGTTGTTACTTTTAGTACACCATTAAAGGTGAGCTTATATAAGAAAAGAAGATACTACATATATATACATATATATATATGAATTCTTGTCGTAAGAGAGAACTTATGTCGGACTACAATATCTGAGTTGTCAACCTGGTTAAAATAGACTAACACCAAACGAGTAATCAGGATTCTCCATATTGTTCCAATACTAATAGGAACGACAATAGTAAGGGCCAGAATAGACACAAGCCTTTCATATTATTTAGCACTTTGTTCACGTACCCTTCTAAGTGATCAAAGACTAAGCCCAATATGTAATAATAGACGGTACATGTTGAACTCAAATCTCTCACCAAACAGCCTGCAATTAAAAAACGCCAAATGTTTTTTTTATTTCTTCATGGCCTCATTAACACTCCAGAACATAGTATTAGTCTCTAATGAAAAGAGGTTATTATTAGATTGAAACCCAACTAGCTACGGTAGTTTCTGTGGGAGAAAAAATAGGTTGTACTTATTTTATTTTATTTTCGCGTTCTTTCAGAAAAAATAATTTTTTGTTTTTCATTTCGAGCGAGCCACCGACGGGGAAAGTGTGAAATATACGCGAACTGGAAGACGGAAGTGGGAAGCAAGGACAGAACCCTTTTTGGATTACTTTACCTGCTGAAGATTTTCAATCATTTTGGCAACTTGGGATGTTTCGAAGTCATAAACTAAAGATGAACGAAGGAATCGAGGGAAGCAACTAAAGTTGAGTGCGTCATGTATTGAGGTCATACAATATCTCTGTGCAAAGGTAGTATATATAATTTTATCATTTTTAAGCTAAAGATTTGTCTGTTTTTGCTCTTTCTAAGCAATCAATTGATATCACCATCTCAAGGAACGTAATAGGTGAAACCTTGGTTTGAACTTTGGCGTATTTAATTTTTTACAAAAACATAAACCAGAGATTCAAATTACTTCTTCTTTATTTTTTTAATTTTGGTAAACAATGGGGCTGAACATCACATATCTATTTGCTATAATCATACTAGTAATATCAGTATTTTTAGCTCGTGCCTTATTTGTATTACCCTTTTATCGATTGAACTATAACTGTACCGATAACAATGATATAACCAATAATAATGTCTCTGATGAGATAACAAGGAAAAAAATTGAACAATTCACTAGTAAAAGACCATTAAATGCGTTTATATACTTAGGATCTGGTGGACATACAGGAGAAATGTTAAGAATCTTATCAAATTTTAATGAAACTTTATTAAAGAAAGGAAATACTTTACATGTGGGTTATTCAGATGAACAATCTCATGAAAAATTTGAAAATTTGATTAAATCATCATTTACCTCTTATAAAGACATTAATGTTAAATATTATAAATTTATTAAAGCAAGAGAAGTAAATGCAGGTTATTTGAAAAGTTTAGAAAGTATAATAAGGACTTTATTAAGTTCTTTTATTAACATTATTGAAATTAAATTTGAAATGATGGGTAAACCTCATTTAGTATTATTAAATGGTCCCGGTACTTGTTGTATTATAGCATTATGGTTTAAAGTGTTGGATATATTACTATTATTCACCTCATCTCATATTATCTATATAGAATCCCTAGCCCGTATCAATAGCTTAAGTATGACAGGCAAGATTCTTTATTTATTAGCAGACTTATTTGTTGTACAATGGGAAGAATTGATACGAGTTGCACCTAGAGCTAAACATTTTGGTATCCTTGTATAAAAAATACAATATAGCATATATCCCGATAATAAAATTATTTAAATAAAATAGTAAGTTGTACTTTTTTTAAAAAATGTTTTCTATTGATTTCGTTTCGTTATTACTGTTACAAAATAACAGAATATGATGATTTATATAGGTTTTGATTTGATAGAGTTGATAAGAGTTATGTAATATATAAAGAAAAATGATTACTCATTTTTTTGTATGTTTTTTATGCATAAACTTTTTAATCTCTGGAGTTGATAATGTCAACAAATTCTGGCTTTAGAGAAGCACCACCGACTAGGAAACCATCGACATCAGCCTTGTCCTTGAAAGTGACAGCGTTAGCACCGTTAGCGGAACCACCGTATAGGATTCTGGTAGCAGCGGCAACATCACCACCTAGCTTAGCAACTAAGTATTCTCTGATAGAAGCGTGAATTTCTTGAGCATCTTCTGGAGTGGCAGCTAGACCAGTACCGATAGCCCAGACTGGTTCGTAAGCAATGACGACGTTAGTCCAGTCCTTAACTTCAGCAATGACAGCATCTAGTTGTCTCTTAACAACATCTAGAGTGATACCGGCCTTCTTTTCTTCTAGAGTTTCACCGATACATAGAATAACACCTAGACCAGAGTCTAAAGCGAACTTAGTCTTGTCAGCGACAATCTTGTCATCTTCGTGGAAGTAAGTTCTTCTTTCAGAGTGACCTAGAATAACCCACTTAGCGTTAACGTCCTTGATCATGTCAACGGAGTTTTCACCAGTGAAAGCACCAGAAGCCTTAGTGTAAGAGTTTTGAGCACCGACAGAGACAGTTGGGGCAGTGACTAGAGAGGTAGCGTAGTCTAAGTAGACAGCTGGTGGACAGATAACAACTTCAGTGTTCTTAGATAGAGAAGCAGCGTTTAATCTGTCAACGATTTCCTTAATGGAAGCCTTGGAACCGTTTAGCTTGAAGTTACCACCGACGAAGAATTGTCTAGCCATTTTTGAATTTATTATGTATGTTATACTTTAGTGAAAAAGATGTACAGCTTCTTAATATGAAAAAAACAAGCAAGAATAAATAAAGAGAAAAAAATTAATAGAAGAGGTAAGAAGAAAAGGAACCATTAGGCAATGAAGAAAAACATAATTATGAAAAGGAAAATATATTTCTCAAAATTCAAGTAATTGATAGCATATTATTTGTTTTTATATATTATTTTCATTGAAAGTTCAATGTTCTAAAAAGCCCAAAAAACAACAACAACGAAATAAATTATTATACGTAGCACACAACAAAATTGAATCAAAGACCAAATCATTGCTGGCTCAAGTTCTACCTGCAGATGTTAAAACCCAAGCAAAAAAAAAAAGTTATGAAAGAAAGATTAGTACGTGCGTACACAGTTGGATTATTAACAATCGATGTTGATGCTAATGGCTTTTTTTACTATTCTTTTTTTCACAGTGTAAAAGTCACTCAAATTTGTCTTAACTACGTATGACAACTAGCCTTGTGCATTGGCTACCGTGATAATATCTATTAAACAACAACACAATTGCCTATATAAAATATTTATCATTTATAGCTTCCTAAGTTCGGTAATTAGCTAAGATGGCAACAACTATAACGAAAACTGTTTCACACTACCAGAGTGATCAAAGGGAAATGTGAAAATGCATAAAATATGCGGTTATTCCCTCTCACCTACTGTGTGAAGTTAGAAAGAATTTTCAAATTCCATCACCAATTTCTGTGGTTTGCTTTTCCTTCCCCCGGCGGTAACAATGAATTCTGTTTTTTTCAATTTCTGGTGGTGTTCGTTTTCGTTATGTAAAAGTGTATATATTTAGGCGATGCCATGGTGTATGGGTTCTTATATAATGATTAGAAGAAGTTGAGTGAGATATTTCTGAGAATTAATAATTTGTCGCGTTACCAGCCGAGATTTAAATGCAAAAATGAAATTTTTTGAAAATGGGAGAGAGGGTAACCTTTAACCGATTTCTTTATTTCAAATTTAATTTCACGGTCAAATTACAATCGTTGCTATTGTAGGGAAATTTTGACAACTATCTTGTATGAACTTGTGCCTAATTTTATTAGCTGCATCTATTTTTGGTAGGGGACTAGACCCTTAAATATTGGATCATCAGTTTTAAAACTGATTTTGAATGTATAAATTTTGAGTTATGTCATCTTAATAATAAGTGTAATGCTTCCTAAATGCTTTATATATATATATAGTTCGTAAAATATTATTTATTTTAATATACAATCTTTTAGTGATCATCGGTTATTCCTCTAGTATGTTCCATTTGGGCAGTTGAGTTCTTAATACATATCTCCTTAAGCTTTCATCATATTCCATTACGATCATACAACCATTAGGTATATTTGTAAAAGATTCAAATTCTTCATATGTCCATCTAAACCATTTCATTAAAAATACTCTTGCATATATGCCGTGTGTGACTAAAACAACAACATCTCGAGGTTTATTTGAATGTCTTTCGTGAAAATGTCTAAACATTGTTTCTTGAAAACTTGCTACTCTATCATAAACATCAGCGGCACTTTCACCTTGTGGAAATCGGAAAAAAAAATGACCATATGCTGATCTTTTCTTCAATACATCTTGCATATTATTAACATCTTGGTAATTACCAAAATCTTGTTCCCTAATTCTTGGATCATCTTTTACTCTATATTTTAAATAAGTTTTACCTGGAATTTTATTACTCAAACGATGTGTACTTTTATCATTTTCATATTCACCACTTGGTCTATGATTTGGTGATGGCCAAATTGCAGATTTTTGTCTACCATTTGGTTTATATTCATAATCTGGGCATGTGGCAACATTAGCATTACGTAAATTATATTCATCAATAACATTTAAAACACCTTTTAAAGTTTCTCTTGTTCTTCTATAGGGCGATGTATAAAATACAATATTTTTATCAATATTCTTATTCAATGGTTGATAATTAATTAAAGGTAATTTACCACAATCTGTTTCACAAAGGTTATATTTTTGTGAAAGTTCATTAACAACATTTTGATTCTCAACATTTAAAATTCTTAATAATTCTGTACCTACATGGTGAGCTTGGTCCAAACCTTTTTTAGTTAATGCAACTAATTGATTTGGAACATTTTCATTAATTGTTTTGTCTTTATTTGATTCACTTTCACCATGTCTAATTAAAATAATTAATCTTGGTTTATGTGTTCTTTCCCAAAATGAACCACCCTCATTATATATTGAACTTTCATCATCTCTAAATGATTCTGTATCTTGATCCATCACTTTTTGTATATCAGATACCTATCTTGTTTTGATTATTCTATCTATATGCATGTATATGTATATATATATATATGATACCTTGATAAACTATACTTATAAATATTAAGGGGCAGATAAAATATAAAATGAAAATAACTCTGGAAGGTGTTATCTATGTCGATATATCATTCAATAGCGTACATATGTGTAACTTTTCATTATATTGTCGACAATCCTTCAACATATTTTTCACTTCTTATTACTTATGATTACTAAGGAATGCAAAAAAGAATGGGAAAAAAGAAAACACAGGAATTAACTTATTTGAAGAAACAGAGCTACTTACATTTCTCTCTCTCGGTCTACTCAGTAGGGTTCGAAAAAAACAAACAGGGAATACCCGAGGACGCGATCACCAAATATTTAAATTTTTTAATAATTTTTAATACTTTTCCTCTCGATTTGTCGATCTATTTGGTATTAATTTTCTTCTTTTGGTTCCTTGTTTGAAGATTTGATTTATACTGAAGATACTAGCATGTGTTGTTCTTTTGGTAATGAATGTTTCTCTTAGTAAATGCTAGGAGAGTGATATCAGCCTCGCAAGAATAAATAAAATGTATGACTGATCTTCCTTAACTTATGAATTACAGTATCGTAATAATAGTTGAACCTGATTGGATCACTATTGGTTGTATGCTTCTTTTGTATTATGAATGAGAAATATAGTTAACAGCTACCTTTTTTTATTTTTTTTTTTATTTTAGAGGTAAACTTCCAAATATATGTTTCCAACACATATGTAATTATAGGTAAATACGAAACTAAAAATGATATATCGTATTATACATCGAGATATTATATTATTTAATAAGATAGTTCATCATAGAGAAAGTTCTTTATCGCAACTGATGATAAAACAGCAATGTTATTTGCAAATATATACATTCATATTTACTACTTCAACTTAATGAAAACTTGTTGTATATTGCATTTTTGTACTCACAGAAATATATCTGCTTGTATTTCACAGAGAATGGACATTTACTTCAGCCATCTCTTAGATGCCTCATTCAAATTCAATAGTCTTTTAAATTAAAGCCCACCATCATGATTCACCCCCACACTTCTCAATTGTAGTTCATTTTGTTCCCCCGACAAGAGAGAAGACCGAGAGAGATAGAGCATCTCGAATTACGGAGTTTTCTTTTTTTTACTAAGCGATGAGGACAATTCTCAAAAAAGTTAAAAATAATTTGGAATAATGCATGCAGAAGAAGAAGATGATGAAGTGTTGTAAAAACCCAAATGAATATTCTATACGGAGTATAAGTAATTCACAAAACTTGGGGCAAATAATAACAAAGAATTTATTTTCAGAAAGAAGAAAAATAAAATGCAAAGTTAAAATGGTACGGGAGAGGGGAATGTAATAATAGATAGATAAGCCTAAATTTGTGATAAGTACCGAGAAAAATATGAACCTTATTTTACTCTACCAAAACAACAATATTATGAAGATAACAATTTGCTACTTGGTATTAACGTAAATATCTTCTGATAAAGAGGAGCATTATTGATTCCTTCTGTTGAGATTTTTGTCTCAAAGGATTTTATGCATGAAAGCATTAAATAATATATACCGATTAGTAAAAGAGATTTAATAAACCGATACAACCTGTCACGTAATTATAGAAAGTGGGTTCAACTTGGTTCAAAAACCCATCCGGCTACTAATTCATGGCGAAAATAGTAAAATATGACAAGCCAAATGATGCAAGTTAATACGTTCGTTGCTGTCATGTAGGACATTAATTTACTAAGCAATGAAAAAGTATATCAAGAATTACATTGAAGATTTCCTGTTAAATGACCGACAGAAGAAAAATAATTGCTTTTAAAATATAAATCTTCCACCTTGTTCTGGTACATTGAAACTTTGTATTCAATTCAACAAATAAGAGGTAATAATGGAACTTTAGCAACACCTGTTATCCTTTTAAATTTTGCATAACTCTTCTTGAAAATTTTTTTTATTCTTGCATACTGTAATTAAAACTATCCTAACAAGTAAATTTAATTAGCAACACCTCTTTGAAGTTCATATCGTAAATACGACAAAAAAGAAAAACTCAAATTAAAATTGTTTCTTTCATTCTAAAAGAGAACTTATATTTTCAATAAATTTAGGATCTCTTTACTTTTTTATATTAATAATTCAATCATAGCCTATTCTAAGCATTTTTGTTTTTTATAGTTGCCTTTCGAGTGACTAGCTATGACATCAAATTTTATCCTTTGGTAATCACTCCCAATTAGGCCAATATCAGGTTGTTTTGGTAAGAATGACCGTTTTAAGCAATAAAATGTCCATTTCAAGACAAAGTCATGGAAAAAAACAACGTATTACCCAATGATTGATTGAACGCGACAGGCACCATTACACTCTAGAAAAAGAAATTCTTTTTTTAATAGATAGATACCAGATAAATAAAGAACCATGATTAATAAATTAAAATTAAGAAATTTTCTTCAAAAACAGTAATCTTATGAGGAGTTAGTTACATTTCACTCCCTAATTTAGTTGAAAGTTGCCAATACCGAAGCTCTTTTTTTTTAAATTCAATTTCAGGAACGATATTCTCTACATTAGGGAAATCTATGTATTCCATACAACAGTTCTGCGAACTTTCTAATATCTCTATTGCATAAGTAAATAAAAATACTCTTTCAACCCCGAAGAACTATTCTTTCTTAGAGATTATGCGGTATTAATATGTCTTTAAATCTTATACTGTTAAATTCCATAAAATAAATATACCAGGTTTTTCGATATATTTTATATTTACTATTTTGCATCATGTTGAGAGTAAACCAGTACAGATGCTAAGAACGTAAACATCTTTCTTCTTCAAGATTATAATCATTTGTAACTCGTTAATCTTCTATTCATATACTAAAAGTACAATTAACGCAACTTAATAACCGACAAGGGTCGCAAAAAGGAGTAAGCGGGCTCTTCAAATGAACGACTTATTACATAACATTAAGGTTTTATATTAATTGCCCATTATTATGGTAATCTTAGACTCACTAAAAACGTGCAATAACAATAAGTTGAAAACGAAAACAATACAACTCGTTACAACTCATTACAAGAATTACGTGGAACATTTAAACATCCAGTCATTAAATTTGTCAGTAAACTCTATAATTAAAGTTATATTTTTAACCTGAAGCATTGCATATAAGGAGAAAGCGAACATAATTTTGAAAGAAGAGGAAAGCTAAGAAGGAAAAAAAAAGAAACTTTTTTCACAAAGTGATGTTCTTCCGTGGAACATTACGACATTAAACGAAATAAGGTTCGTATAACTCACGCAAAACTCCTCTCATTGTATTGTAGAAAAATTTTCTAAAACAAAAAGAAAGGATGTGATGAATCACTACTAAGATAACAAAGACAAAATCAATCTAACAAAACGAATATTATAGTTTCATTAAAGTTTGAAGTGAACTTCGGTTTTTTAACATTATGTTTCTTGTACTGTACCAAAATAAAGTTAAGATCAATTCGTTTTTGCTTACTCTTCCATTGATGAAAAACTTAATCACTACATGAATTAAATTATCTCTTCTGTATTTTGTTTAAAAAATTATTAATAATCGAATTGGAACTGCTGTCTTTATGCTGAACTTAAGACTTCAACATTAAGAAATGAAAAACCTGCGATAATATTTGTTTGGATAAAGTGGTATTAACAAAATAATTTAGAATTTTTAACATAGCTTTTGTTAATTCTCAACAGATCTTTCGTTAGACAACATAGTCATCCATAACAAACAAGATTTAATTATTTTCTTCTAATTTATAAACTTTATATTTCTGACCCTAATCAAGTTACTAATATCTCATTGTCCCTTCTGAATTTTTTTGAAAAAACCTTATTCACCCTAAATATTCCACCCAATTTAAAGATTTGTAGTTTCTATGAAACCACATCATCATAAAAAGAAGCGGGGGAATTCTTTTGATTTCCGTGTAATGAAAAGTATATTTTCTTTTTTAAGATATATATATATATGTATATATTCCAGCAATTCCAAAGAAAACACTGTACTAGAACGCCCTTGTAGAGAGAATTGCCATGCCCTGAAATAAAAAATACATAATAACATAAATGCAGTAGAACACATAACATGATGTTTAAGTTGCAGAATAAATATCAATGCAGAAAACAGGTAAACAAACAAAATTTTACATTAAACTTTACAATGACGAAAGAATCCTAATTCTTTTCCATTCCATTGAAGAGGAAAAACTTTCTTCATTTCTTTTTTAATTTGAACAGATGATTCCTGCCTATGTCCTTTAATATAACAATCTTTACAATCTAATATTATCCCTCAAAATTGCTACTTGATTCTCATACCTGAACAATATTCCCTTTTTGTTAAAATGTACTACCCTTCCATACATGATCTCAATGAAGTAGTTTATAGTACGATAAATCAGAAATATAAACAACTGATAGTAAAGTATGTAAGGTAATTTGTTGATTCTTTATTAACGGAAAACTTTATTTGTAAGGTTACTAATATTTGAAAATGAGTTAATTAAGAACAATTATTAAGTATTATTATTAAGGATTATAGGTGCTGCAGTCTCTTTTATTCATAAAATAGTTTACTATGCTCAATTTCGTGTTCTTTATCCCACTTCGAGTGGTCCAGCTGTTATTAGGATTATGTTTATTCAGAACTATTGATTTCCCTTCCTTACGTCTAAAAAATTGAATTTAAACTTTTTGTGTTTTCTTTTTTTTCTTCGGTTAACCTTAATATTTGAACAATTTGAAATAACTTTCTATAAGAGAGGTCAACTCCTTTCATTAAGTATTTTGACTCTCTTGCACTAAAAATTGATTAAAAAGAAAAAATACAATGCAGTTGCCAAGTTCATTTCAGCAACAATGAAAATCCTCGAAATAAAAATATAACTTAATTCAAATGGTTTCCACGCTTTCTTTTCAGTCTTCCTATTTTGATTGACGGTCAAATAGTAAAAAATATTCTAAGCGTCATTGAATTAAAGAAGGATAAACTAGAATAAACTAGAAGATAAAAGGAAAGAATGAAAAAATGAATTGTTCGACAGTAAATTTTTAAATTCAATTTGTTGGCGTTTCGTAAGTAATAAATTCTTAAATTTATTATCCACAATGTGGCTGTTTTGCCTTCTTTTGAACGGGATGTTCATCTTTTACCGTAGTTCAAAAAATTAGGCATAACCATATTCATTTATTTTTTGACTGTACATATTGAATAGCTACTTTTCTTACAATTCTTATCCTTCATACCAGAAGTGCACATATCGATTTTATCTGAGGTACAACAAGATATATCTGTTTATGCAGTCTCTCCTCCAAAATTTTATGTCACTCTTTTTTTTTTTTTTTTTTTTTTTTCCCCTTTTTTAANTTCCCATGTATTAATATTTCTTTTTCTTCTGCATATTACTAAAAAGTCTTTTACAAAAAATTATCCAAATAAACGTTAGATACAGCAATTCATACTTATGCATATAAGCTTCCGAGTTCTCCCCCATATTATATACTTTTAGTAATAAAGTTACAACCATAACAATGGAACGTAGAATTTTTTTAGGAATAGAAAATCTTTAATTTATAAAGTAATTGCATAATCAAATAGGAAATTATAGTTAGAGTTGGACTTTTATATAAAGAAATTTTTTTGATAATCAATGTATGCAAGGGTATATATATATACATATAAAGTTTCGAAAATTCAAAATCATATTTTATTTGATGTTTGATTTAAGACTTGTTTATTGATTATTTCTTCTTGGTTTGTATAACTCTTGAATATTTTATCCCTGTTTTACTGACAACCAATACTGTAAGAGTATTATATTATCTAACTAAGAATACACCAAAATTTGATAAATGTTATTATATTTTTTTTGAAAAGACGCAAAATCTACAACTTGTAAGCATATTCTTTATATTAATTTTAAGTCATCTCTCAAGCATTCTAAATTTGCCTTTAATTAATTATAGAACTCATTAAACACACAAAATATATCATCAATGAATCAACAATTCCCGTTCAGTAACCAAATACAAACAACTCCAAATTATCATTTTGAAAATAATTTCCAAAGCATTAGTTTCTTCGAAACTTTAGAAACAACACCTTTTTTTTCTAATATATTTGTTAACTTATATGACAATGTAGAATCAGAAAGTGACAATTCTGAAAATAATATTGTACATAATAGACGAAACCTCTTATTGCACTCTCCATTAGAAAAAGTAGGTAAAGTTTATTCTGATAATAATTTCAACATATTTTTACCCTCTAATAAATACCACAGGAAACCCTTTGAAAATTGTCACGAACAAGAACCACAAATATCCCATCGATTGCCAGTAGATATTCATTCCTCACCCAATTCGAATTTACGTCATAATTCTTCCATGACAAGTTTAATATCAGACGAGGCTCTTTATTTAAATTCATTGCATGACAAGATTGGGAAGAATTCTCAAGATTTATCTCAATTTAACATTAACTCAAAAAATATTCATGATTACTTACTGAATTACAAGAATGTCTCTTTGAGGAATAACAGTATTCATTCCCCTTTAGCATTAGATTCTTCATCTTCTGGTATTTCTGCACAATGTTCACCCTCATTACCAATAACCGAACAAAGAGATTCCCACAATAGTGATTATGAAAAGTATAATGACGTTAAGTTTGCACTCAACAGGAAACGCTCTTCCACAAGTAATAAATGTAACAGTCCCAAAGGAAATTCCCCCAAAGCCGGTACTCATTGTTGTAAAATATGTGGGAAAAAATTCCAACGTCCATCTACGTTGGATACTCATATGAATATCCATTCAGGTGAGAAACCTTACCTATGTCCCTTTTTAGAATGTAAAAAATTATTCAACGCCAGATCTAATATGCTGAGACATTTAAAAATGCATTTTAAGCTCGGGAAGGGCAAGTATTTGCTACCCAGTGGTGAAGTTTCGTTGAAAAAACCCACAGCCAAACAACTGGTTTGTTTTACCGATCTTACTGGTGACAAGATCTCATAGATTCGTCGAATGCCTTTTTTAAAAAACCGATCTTCATTCTATTAAGATTGAAAAGGCTGCACACATTTCACATTTCTAATTTACGTAATAATATTCCATTAACAAGTTAATAAATTTTTTATCTTTCATTAATACTTAATTTTAAATAATTTTCTATTTTCTTTCTCTCTCGACGTGAACGTGATAAAAGTATGAAAAAATGCTAAAGTACATAGGGACGTCATAAATTCGTTTTGAGAAGTCTTTTTTTCTTCCTTTGTTTCTTAGTCCTGTATATTATCATTTTAAGAGATCATTGAAAGTGCGCTACACAAACGGGCGAACAACTCTTTTAATTTTTTAAGATGAAGACGTCTTACCTAACTGTTGCTTAGTTATGATGGAAGCTGCGACAGTAAATATCATGCAACGAAATGCTTCCATATATGTTCCGATTGATAGGTTTAAAATTAAATAGTCAATTACAAATACAGAGATACAGAATTCAGTTCTTAGTATCGTTCAAGTTAATTACTATAGAATTCTTTATGACAAGTGTACTGAACATCATTTTCAATGAGGAATTCATTTATGCGAGTACCATTAAAGGGTTTAGATGATAGACTTAAGCAAACTAAAAAATCAATTCTATTTTATAGCCCACTTTTGATAATTTCTTATTCATGATTATATATATATATATATATTCAAAATATTCGAGTTTTGTTTTCAAAAAACAACAAAAAACGGCACGACCAAGAACTAATACAGCATAATAGTAAGCTTGACTGCACATCAAACTTTGAATATTTTCATTTTTCTATACGCCATTTGGTTTTTAAAGCACTTATCAGTAAACTAAGTAGTACTACATTAATTTTCAATCTTATGTTTCAAGGGGTTTGAATCAGAAAAAGCATCGAGTTTCGTGTATTTATCACAAAAGAAAATTAATACGATAACAATGAGGAATAAAAAAAATAATTTTTAGAAAGCAAGATATATCAACCGTGACAATATATAAACGTTTCTGCATTAACTAGACAGATCAAAAATATTTTCGATGTTATCAGATAATAATGAGAAGAGTTACGGCATCTCAAATTTCCTAAAACGACCATAAATGGTCCTTAATAGTGCAACAGTTGAGATATTTCGCATATCTGTTAAACTTTGTTCAGACTTGGCCAGGGAAATCTCTGAAAGTGAGAATCAGATAAAATTAAATACAGAGAAAAGAAAATAACTCCAACTTATGAAATATTGAGGTAGTGGTTAGTGGTCAATACACACAAACTTATATTTCTCTTTTGTTTTCAAGATTTATAATTTTCTGTCGTACTGAATTATGTTAGAAGATATTTCTAATGGAACGAATAACCAAAAATAAAATTTTCTATCATTAATCGTGGATAGTGTCAGAACAATATAATAGTTGTGTATAGTATCAATGCAACCTCCAGTGGAATGTTGAGAATGATGTATTTAGCTATATGGAATTTTATTACGATACATACTTTAACAATGAAGGGTTTTTTTATTTTTCTTCTGTGACATAAGCTTTTCGTCGTCTCTTCCATTGTACTATTGAAAAATAGTAGAAAACAATAGACTGATAGGTCAACCTATAATTGGATGAAAAAAGAAAGCTTTTCAGTAAATATGTAAACCTTGTGATGCATTGTTTGAACGAAGTATATAGTATAAAGAATGAAAAATAAATTTCAACCTAGAAATTAAGTTTGAACAGTTTAGTACAGCATGGAAACCTCAACTTTAACTTTAGATTATATGTCCCGTGTTTAATCTTGGAATGTTTGTAGTATTAATAGCAAAATCAAATCTATGCAACTTTCCTCTACTTTCAAAGAAACATTCTTTTTCTATTTTTTTCTCCATTACCCAATTGAAGTGAGATGTAAATACTAATGTAGATAAGATTAAATAGTTATATATATATATATGTATGTATATTTATACATAGAGAAATGTGTAATGCAATTTTATTTGGGGTAATCCGATATTTTTATGACATTATTAGAATTGAAACTTTAATTTGCCAATCAACGTATCGATAGCCTCGAAATTCATAGAGTTATCTGCAAATGAAATGTGTTTTTCTGATTGAAGATGACTCTCTAAAGAATCATACTTAACTCTACAATTTTCACAATAACCAGAATCTTTAGGTATCACCTTTGGTTGTGAAACTGGTGCTTTAGGAGGCTGTGGATTGGCAGTTGCGTGACCACTGTTTACACTTCGTAAAGTGGTAGCGTTATTTTTAATACTAGCACCGTTACTATAACTCGTAGCAATAGACATCACAGCGTTTTTGTCATTGATATTTTTGTCGACATTGTTTTGGTTCAACTGTTGCGAATCCACTAGTTTTCCAGCTCCTAACTTCCTTGTGCTTGGTATGGTTAGTTTTCTGTCAACAACAAATCTGCTTAGAGTTTTAATATTTTTGCTCATAACACTAGCCTTTGTTGGACCCAAACCGTTACCAAAAGATGTGGCAACATCATTTGATTGATGGGCACCACTAGCTTTTATTTCGTAGTTAATGTGTGACTGTCTCTTCGAGTTACATAGATCATCTGGAAAATAATCTTCGGTGTCTTGTCTTGTAAATGATGCTAAAACCGGTCTTTTTAATTTTGGCGTAGGAGGTTCCTTATACACGCCTGGTTTGTTTGGAAAATGTGTGGTTTCAGAATATTTATTATTAGCTGCATCCAATACATTAATCATATTTTTAGAAGAATCAAATACTAATTTATCCTTTGGTTCGGTCTTGAATACACCATCTTCTGCAATTTTCCTGGTTTGCCCATCCGATTTGCCCCTTCTTGGATCTCCTGAAAAACTATTGTTTGAATTATCGAAGTCTTCATCATATGATGCTTCAGGATGTTTCTCTGAAGTCTTTTTGAACGTTTGCCATTTATTATATACTGATTTAGAATCATTATCATCATGGGGAAGAAAGATTACTTCTTCATCCGCCACTGGATATGGTGTTGCTTGCAATTGATAAAGTTTACGCAATTTAATAGCGTAATTTTTATTTAGTTTGTCACGAGCGTAACGTTTAACAACACGTTTATATCCACTTTCATTACAGTTTCTATCACCAACAAAGGGACATCTACCAAATGAACCACCTTTTAATGTTGGATATGGTAATTCATCCTTCTTTTGTACAGCTGAGTATTTCCATTCTAATGTAATTACTGGAGACCATGTTTGCCATAGATCATACAAATAAACATGAGGATATTTGAAATAATGTGTGTCATCCCTTTTAGTTCTAGGATCTCTGTCATTTGGACCATAAAGTTTTTCATTCTGTAATAAATTAGATAATGTAGTTGTTGCTATACTCGAATTGTAAGTATTTGCAATTTCTTCAAGGTCGACATCTAAATTCCCCAAGAAACGTGCAGCTTTTTCATACATCCATAATTTCATGTAGTGCCTTTTTGCGCGTCTCAATACATCATTTGAATTTAAATATACTAAACTAGTGGTATCTCTTCTGGTGATAACAATGGTGACACTATTATCAAAAAATGATGTAATCTTAGCACCCAATGAAAGGAAACCTCTCTTCAATAATTCTTGTTTCTTATCTAAAATTCTTTTCTGAGGAACTGTTGTCTCAGGATCTTCAGTAATGTCAAAATAAATCTTAGAATCATATTTCATTATTTTCCTCCAATTATTTTGCCATTCTAATAAATCCTTCTGCGTTACTTTTGGCTCAATAGTTTTCAATACAGCTTTCTTGCTAACAAGTACAGCGCCTTCGATGGATCTGGCACGTTCAATTTTGGGTCTTTTTACTAAATAGTCGGTCGTTTGTCGGCATTTATCTGGAGTATTATTGTAGTATTTTTCATCATCCTTGTTATCTTCTTCCTTTTTGTTGTTGTTATTCTTGTCATTATCATTATTATTTTTTTCATCTATATCATCAAGGTCAATTTGTTCTATTAGACGTTTCTTTATAGGTTGAATTAATTGTTTCATATTAGCATCGGTCTCCTTCAATGGAGACCTCATGTGTACTTTTGTTGGAGATGCCATTTGATGGATTACTTAAGAATTTTTGTTGATGGATATGATGCGAAATAAATTTGGTGTTTTCTTATATAGAAAATAAACAAATATTGATAATTGATCCAGTTCTAAAGAGTCATAGAATTATTCAAGAGACAAAATTAATGTAAATGCTAGTAGTACTCTCGAGGTATCTATCTTAGAAATAGTAGCAATAGTTATCAGAAAATGTTTCTTCTAAAAAGATGTATTGAAAAAAAAATGAAAAAAAAAACTTGGGAAGTTGTAATGCTAAATCACTTGATCTATTCGTGATTGGAGGAATTTATCAACACTTTTAAAGTACTTAACTAATTATTGCAAATATTCTTAAGTAACGAAACGTTCCTTTACGTATCAATTAATTAATTTAGTTATTTAATATCGATGGTGTTTCTCGCACTATACACTAGCTGTTTTACTCTCTATACAGAAAATTATTTCATTAAGCGCGGCACCAGCGATCCGTTGTTGATTTTTATTAACCTCACACAACTATTATTTATTATTTATTATTTGAGAAACTGAATGCGATAAAAAATAGCATTTGGCGTTTTTTTCCCCTTCTCCCTGTATATGAAAGGAGGGAGTTAGTTTTGCGATAATAAAGTAACGAAAATCACGTGCAAGTCAGGTGACTTAGGCATTTTGTACGAGCTGAAGGGTATAATAGAAATTTAGGGTTATTAATATTACCTTATATATGGATAGATGATGGGAGGCTCCTAATGATGTAGAGAGTTATATAACTACAATGGCTGGGGCTAATATATATGTTGTGTAGAGTGCTATGTTGGGAAATGTGACTTACTTCAAAGAATGATGAGATATGGTGAAATGAGAGGCATTAATGATTGAACAGGATAGGGTAGATTCCTCTCTACATTATTTACAAATAAATAGTAATATGCAGTTATATAAATGATGATCAGGAAAGAAAATGAATAAATATGCTTGAATGATTTTATTATATTTTTTATATGTATATATCTATATTTAAATATATACTTGTAATGGTTAGTTATTTACTTCCCTTCTTAAAAAGAATGAGTCAGGAAGGAAACACTTTTTATGCTAATAGTTATCTAATCGTGGATTTAAATAAGGACTAAAGTTGAATGTGAGTAATGCATAGGGATTTAGTGTAAAAAAAACAAATTAATAAATAAATATCTTTCATGCTATTTTTTATCTAATTTTTCCATTTCTTCAACATCTTCACTTTCATCACCAGCTTTATTTGGTTGTTTTCTATCCATGACACTATCTATGCTATCATCATCTTCTTCTTCGTCTTCATCTTCATCATCGAATTGAATATCTTGTTCATCATCTTCATCATAACCTTTATAGTTATAAACATCATCATCATTAAATCCCATAGATTTATCATCATTATCATCATTAATGAAATCAGATATATTTTGTTCATCATCACTATCATACCAAAAATTTTCTCCGATATTATTACTATTACTATTACTATTACTACCATTATTATTATTATTACCATTACTATTATTATTATTACCATTTTCATCGAATTGATTTAAATCATCTAAACCATTTCTACCATTAGCAGAAGTTTGTCTTGATGATAAATAAGCTGTATCAGATGAAGGCATAACAAATCCAGCAGGAATATCTTGTTTTGATCTTTCAACTTCCATTTTAACTCTTTGCTTATATTGATCTGGATTTTTTCTGTAATCAACAGCAGCATCAACATTAGCAGGACTTGAAACATTTGGATCTTCTAATAAAGATACAATAGAAATTAAAACAGATTCAACAGTTTGTACAGGAGACCAAGTTTCTGCGTCAATTTCATCGGCCATAGGATCACCAGATTGATGTAAAATTGAAATACATAATCTACCATCTCTATAAACATTTGGATGATAAATTGCAGGAGTAAATCTAAATTGCGGTGGAGAAAATGGGAAATCTTCAGGAAATCTCATTTGTGCTTTAAAATATCCACCATGATATATTGAATCCTCATTTAATACCATTACACCAATATTCCATACAAAAATATTTGAATCATCATCTAATTCTATATGAAATGATGGAATAGCTTTCTTTGGATCAGTAAGTTCTCTGTATTGTCGTAAAAGTAAACTAGCTGCTGAACTTTTACGGTTACTCATTTTCTATCTGTGTGTGTGTTTGTGTTTGTATTCTTGTATCGATCGCTGATATAGATATATGTATGTATATATATGTATATCTTGTTGTTATTCTTTTACCTTGTGAGAGGGGTGGGTGTAAGCTTTTTTATTATTATCAACAATAAACTTAAATCTAGTGTTATTATTATTCACTTATAATAAATACTGAGGTATATATATATATATATATATATATATATATATATGATAGTAATAAATATTAATGATAAAATAGTTTTATTAATTTATTTGTAATTTTGTATTTGTAATAGTACTAAGATAAATAAAGTCTAAGTTAGTGTTTTCCCAATTTTATTATTTTAATTTTTATTTTTTTTACAAATCGCCTCTCTCTGTTTCTTTCCCACACAACAAAAGAAATACGAAAGAAAAAAAAAATTCTCTTTGTTTAAGGAGCGGGTGTGTGTGTAAGTATTTTAAGAACCGAAAAATGGGGACAGTTAGTAATTTTTAAGAGACAAAATATTACTCGGATGAGTAAAAAAAAATGTTCCTTGCCCTATAGGAGTATTCAAAAAAACAAAACCCTAAGATATTTTCAATGTCAATAGAAGAGAGTAATGGGCGTCAACTTAGCTAATGTGTACAAAATGAACTGAAGTGCTATAAAAGTTATCCGTCCGCAACATAGAATAGTCCGATTGAAATTTCGCATACCCTAAAAATGTATGAAATTTAGAGTAAAAAGAATTTTAAAATGCGGAAATATCAATAGAAAGATATGTGACCAGTCCACCCCCCCCCCAAAAAAAATTCAAAAAATCATCGCGAGAACAATAAATAATTATTACTAAGAGGGGAGAAAAGGAATAAGTCTGGTGACAAAAGGAGACGGAAAATGATAGTAAGTGGAGAGGGTATAAAGAGGAGGTTACGTATCAACTTGAAGATAGATATATCGATAGCTATTATCAATTTTCATCTTTCTAAATTACTTGTGGGTAAAGGTTTGCCTCTTACTCTGATCACCATCTCTCCTCCTCTTCTTCTTATTCTTTAAAAAATTCTTTTACAAATGTTCAAGATAGCATGTAATGCTAAACAAGTAAAATAAGAAATGTATATATCTATTTCTATCTTGAAAGGTAAATAAAATCAAAAAAGGAGAATTCAATTTAGCCGCTGATGTTATATCACAAAACAAGGGAGTTTCACATTTACACATACAGACACGTATAATGGACGCCGTCTAAAGTGATGAATTACTTGGTATTTAATCTATCAATATCAAAAAGCTACTAAAAAGAAGTTTAAAATCATCTTTGTACTGTCATTTCAGTACATAAAGTTTTCATGAAAATGATCGAAACTTCCTTTATGTTACACACAATATAAGTGAAGAATTCATAACATTTTTGATGTTTGTTTGAGTATTCACAACCCAGCCACACCAAAAAAAAATCTTTGATAAATTTTAGGAAGGAGTAGTAGGAATTGTGCAACCACTACGTACGTATAAATTAAAAATATTAAAGTGGTTGGTCTTTCTCTCTCTGTGTATTTGTTTTCTCGGTGTCCCGCATTACCTAAAGTGGAAACCCCAATCGTTAATAAATCGATACTGCATTTCCCTTTTTGTTCATTGGAAAGAAAAAAAAATCGATTTTAATTTTTCATTTTGGGTAATTTCAAGCAGTTGCACTGCGGGAAAGGAATTGCGGAGTGATTAATGAAAAAGGAAGATTAAGGAATCAACAATGAAATTTTTCTTCTCTACGACGATTTCTCTTCAAATGTCTAGAAATGTGTACTGCTACATGTGGTTTTATTGCTTTTACATTTAACCAAAGAGGCAATCCGTTGTTTGACTTACCACCTAAGGATAAATTACTTACACATACAGTTTTATTACCACAAATTGATTTATATTGAATTATTTTGTCGCCTTGTCAGTTATTTTTATATTTATTTTTTTCATTCTCCATAGTAATTTACCGTACATAACATGGCAATTCAAACAATTGATTTCTTAATTAACAGGAAAAAAAAGAAAACAAGAAAAACACGGCCATCTCATTTAAATTTTTCTTACTCTTTTGTTTACAAATCTAGTTATTATTTTTGTTGTCTTTTCATTTCTTACACGAAAAAGAATTTAATTTTCTTTTATTTATATTTTTCTTTCATGAAAACAAACATAAATTACCACTTTAATTAAATCATGCATCATTTAAGAAGAGGATGATGCATAATATCTGTTTTGTCTAAGCCTTGTATGCGGGTTTTCCTTTGTGAAATTTGATCCAGCAACTTGATTTATTTCTTCTTCACTCTCCTTAACATGAAACTTTTGATGACATCCAGTAACAACTTGTATTAGCAGTCTAATTTTGCTTGCATTGCTTGCTTACATTTAATAAATTATTACATATTTGTTCGAGTGTTTCTAAGTTTCTCCAGTGGGAAAAAAGGTTATAACCGAAACAGTTAAAGTCTATTATGAATGATATCATTTAACTCAGTGAAAAAAAAAAATATTATAGATTATATTTATTTTTACATTTTAATAAATTCTTTTTTTTTTCACCAATTTAAGCAAGACATATATATATAAGATAGTGTAACTTTGTATTTTTCTTTTTTAATCATAAACTTTGTTTAAATTACATTAGTTCTTTTATTAATTTTAATTTTATTTTATTTCATTTCTATCATTATATTTGTAATAACTTCAACAACTATATCGTTAACATTCGTTTTTTAATTTAACAAAATATATATATATATTCAAAAATGCAATTCAAATCATTTTCGATTGCTGCTTTATTAGCTACTTCTGCTTTAGCTGCAGACTCTTCATCTTCTTCATCCTCTACTAAGACTTCATCTACTTCAATTCCTTCTGGATGTAGTCTAGGTTCTAGTGCTACTGCCACTGCCCAATCTGATTTAGATGAATATTCAGGTTGTACCACTTTAGTTGGTAATTTAACAATTTCTGGTGTCCTAGGTTCAGGTGCTATTGCTAATGTTCAAAAAATTGATGGTTCTTTAAGAATTTATAATGCAACTGACTTAGTTACTTTTTCAGCTGATTCAATTGAAGAAATTACAGGTTCTTTAGAATTACAATCTTTAACTGTTTTGACTACTGCATCCTTTGGTGCTTTAGAAAAAGTTGGTACTATCAGTTTGATTACTTTACCTGCTATTTCAACTTTTGCAACAAATTTAAAATCTGCAAGTAATATTTTAATTTCTGACACTTCTTTAGAATCTATTGATGGTTTCTCAGCTTTAAAGACCGTTGATTCTTTTAATATTAATAATAACAGATATTTAACTAGTGTTAAAGCTTCCTTATCTACAGTTTCAAATGCTTTAGAATTAGGTTTCAATGGTCAAAATACTGCTTTATCCTTTGATGAATTGATCTGGGCTAATAATATTACTTTATCTTCTGTCTCAAATGTTTCTTTTGCTAAATTACAAAAAGTTAATGCTTCAATGGGTTTCATTAATAACACTTTCACTGACTTAACTGTTGATGAATTAGAATCTGTTGGTCAAACTTTTACTATTAGTTCCAATGATGATCTAGAAAATGTTTCTTTCCAAAACTTAACTACTATTGGTGGTGGTTTTGTTATTGCTAACAACACTAACTTAAAGACTATTGATACTTTCAGTGAAGTTACTACTATTGGTGGTGCTTTGAACGTTATTGGTAATTTCACTACTTTAGATCTTTCTTCTTTGAAATCTGTTAAAGGTGGTGCTGATATCGAAACTTCTGCTTCTAACTTCTCTTGTGATGCTTTAAAGAAATTGCAAAGTAAGGGTGCTATCCAAGGTGATAATTTCGTTTGTAAGAATGGTGCTGTCTCTTCATCTGCATCTTCCTCAGTTTCTTCTTCTGCCTCTTCTACTAAATCTGGTTCTTCAAAAAGTTCTTCTGCTTCCAGTGACGACTCTTCTGATTCTAGTTCCTCTTCCTCTTCTTCCTCTAAATCTAGTGGTGCTGCCGGTATTGCTTACACTATTCCACAAGCTTCTTTATTCGGTCTATTTGCCACTGTCTTATCTGCTTTGTTATAGATAATAAAAATAGAAAACTTAACATTATTATATGTTCAAATAAAACCTTTCGTTTTTTTTTTTATTACTTCTTCCTGATTCTTATATCTCTACGTTCACATAAAGAATAAGAACAGATTGATTATTCACCCTAAATATTTGTGAATTAATCTCTATTTACTGTATAATACTTTATATATCTACTTCTGCATCAAATCATTATAAAAATTAATTTTAATAAATTATATTCTCAATAATAATATTATTAGGAAAAGCTTTAAAAAAAGAAAACGTTACACTACCATATATATTTCTAATTTTTCTTCTTATCATCTCCTGGTTTAATTATACTAGTGACAACGTTATAAATAACTAAACCAATCAATAATTGTTTCCAATTCTTTTGTAAATAATTTCTATCATCGACTTCTTCCTCATTCTTTTCAGTGGCCTTGCTGAATTGTTCTGAACCACGAGCTGTATCTTTCTTCTTATCTGCATATGTCTTTGTTGTCTTCTTTAATAAAATAGCAGGCGCCACTGGTGCCAAGGTTGGATCCTGTACAATTGGTTCAATAGATGTCGAATTTTCATTCCATACCATAGAAAACTTTTGAACGTCATTATTCTCCGTATCTACACTCAAAACTAATTTATAATGTAGTTCATTCTCTAATTCTGTTAAAGTGAAACAGGTTTGTTGTAGTTGTGGATCGTTTGAACGTGAATCAATACAATATGGTACATCTTGTTTAATTTCAGGATCTACTACTGTTGGAGACACTAGAGGAGTTATCTCCTGTAAATCGCTATCATAATTGAATACACCTAAATTATGTTTATATTGACCGTCTAAAGTACGAGCAAATAAGCTAAATTCTTGAGAGAGGGAAACTTGTGCTAATGCACCCATTAGGACAACTAACTTAAACATTCGTTATTAGTTTTCTTTTTTTACTTTGAATCTATCAAATGATGGTTACTTATATAAAAATTGCAGTTAATATATCTTCCTTGCTAAGTTAATTCGTATCCAAGTATCCCCTTAAGCAGATGTCTTCCCTGTTTCTTTTTGTTATAACATCTCCCTCTGAGATAAATTGATGATGTATACCGTGAACTGCTGCTACTCGCCTTTAATTTTCTTTAATTTTCTTGAGATGTATCTACAAAGTGTATTTTCGCCCTAAGCGAGTCGAAATGGTTTAACATAATTTTCAACATTTTAAATTAATTAAGGACAGCAATTATAAATTTTAGAATTAGAAGGATTTTTTACACGTAATTCACATATGAGAAATAAAAAATTAATTAAACAGTTTTTGTTATAACCTTAACAATTTATTTGAACAACAATACTACATGTACAAATAACAAAGAAAAATAATGTCCTTACTTTTACCTTTTTATCTATTCTTCTTTTATATAACGCGATATGTGTCAGCTAATTTATTAGCGCCAAATGAGGACCCTAATGCCATTGATAAATACACCATAGACTATATGTCACCATGTAGATGGGATTCGTTATTTCCGGACAAATCAGCAGGGGTAAACAATGGAACTTTTTTGGAATTTGGAGAGGATACGTTATGCTTCATAGAAGATAACAAAAAAAAATCAGATTCTGGAGATGTAGATCAGGATTCTAAATCTTTACAAGATGCATTACAAAATACTCTAGATAAAGCTGTGAATGTACTTTCGGACATCCTTGATGGATATTGCATTATCTATAACAATGGGTTTTGGACTTATAGATATTGTCCAGGGAATGAAATAGTACAATTACATAATGATAGTTCTGACCCTCAAACATTACTATACACTTTAGGTAAAGCTAAGCCAGACATTAAGAACCGTGAATTCCAGCTATTATATAATGAATTAGGTTACTATGTTAGTGAATTTGTTGGTATGGGTGATATTTGTGATGTTACTGGTGCACATAGATTAGTTGAAGTTCAATATGTATGTGGAGAGACCCATGGTATTGCTACGATCCAATGGATAAGAGAAACTAAAATTTGTCAATATGAGATGCAAATATCGGTACCTGAATTGTGTGATTTAGAATTATTATCGAAAAATGAGGATAAGAAAACTGCAAATCATTTAAAATGTGTAAGGTATGATGATCAATATGGGAAGACTGATAAAAATATGATTGATTTATTGGCAGAATATGATCCAACTTTTCTAGGGTATGGTATATATTTCCTTCAATCGTTGGATGAGAATAAAAGAGATACATTAATGTATACTAGTGATGATCTTTCTGGTGAAATACCGAAGGAAACGTTCGATAGATTTGGTAAAGCATTCAATAGAATGATCAATCAAAAAATGTTAGTTTCCCCAAATGGTTCACCAGTAGTTAATGGAGATATTTTTACATGGATGTCTGAGATTTTTGATATCACGGGTACTGTAATTTCTAAATTATCTATTCATGTTTCAGAAATTGGTAAAGCAGAACTGCATCTTGATAATGATTTATTATTCCCTGAACCAAGTAATTTTGTTGCTTATCAAAGTAAAACTCAAAATTTAGCTTATTTGTTCCAGAACGAAGTAACTGAGGGCATTTCTAATAACAACTACGATGGAGATGATATCCCTGATAATTATGAACAATCATCTGTTAGTGTTACTTTGAAATTAGCTAATAACAAAGATGTAAAGATTACTGCCACTCGTGATGGTGATAAAAGGGTGATTTCATTGGAAGCATTAAATCCCGATGCAAATTTTGAACTTTTAAATGATCAAGATAGAGAGAGATTATTGGATGTTATCCTAAATTCCGAAGAATTGAGCCCTATCATGGGACAATTAGGGATAGGAGATTTTGAACTTCAATCCGCTAGATTTGATGATACTGTCTTATTCGAGTATTCAAATTTAGATGATATAGATGAATTGTTAAATGAAGGAGAAAATGGCAATCCATTTAGTCCAGATGTCATACCATCACTCGAGGAAACTTCAAGTACAGAGACACGTACTCAAGTAATTTATGAAACACATGTCATATCTGAAGAGGGTTCGACTGATCCATCGGAGGAGAAAATTGAATATAATAATGACGAAATTTCAGATGACATTAAATCTGTAAATGCAGATATCGACGAAACTACGGTTAATGATAAAAAAGATATAGAACATGATGAATTGTAAATATTGAAATAAATAGATATATGAATACGCAAATATTTTATGATATATGTCCTTGTTTGATTTTTTGAGTTTATTTGGAAGTTGATTGTAAAAGACCTTCCATCTTTTTCATATCATTATTGATGATCATGATTAATATACACACAAATATATATGATAATAGGTATATATTAAAGTTACATATGAAATATTTACTACTGGTTAAAATAGTAATGATGGTTTCAACTGTTAACGAAACAAAATATAGAAGTATTAAGAGAAAAATGCAATTTAGAACATAACTCTATTAAAACAAACGTTGATAAAAAAAAAATAGAATCTTCATTCTTTACCGCCGTTCATCTTATGCTTTTTTTTTATTTTTTAACATCTGTAGTGAAAGGAACTTGTTGTGACTATTAATAGGAACTCAGAGAGTATGTGTGAAAATAATAAAAGAGAGGGAGAGAGAAAAAAAGGTATGATTTAGGTAAATTTCTTTTCTTCTAATAAATTCTCTTATACAGCATATTTCTTTGTCCATTCTCTTGCGGTAGCTTCATATTTTGGTCTATCGGTCTTATAAATGTGAGCAATTTCTGGAACTAAAGGATCATCAGGGTTAGCATCTGTCAATAAAGAACAAATGGATAATAATACTTTAGATAAAGTTAAAGCTGGAGACCATTGATCCTTCAATATATCTAGACAAATGTTACCATTAGCATTGATATTTGGATGATAAATCTTTGTAGTAAATGCAATCTTTGGTGGTTTGAATGGATAATCAGTTGGGAAATGAATAGATAAGAAGAAAACACCACCAGCATATGGAGAATCTGGAGGACCCATAATGGATGCTTGCCAGTGGTATAAATCATCACCAACTGGACCTGCTGAACATGAAGTTGGTGGGTCTCTTTCTATATCACGAAGTTCTTTGGAGATACGTTTACTGGACATTTTACTAGGTAACTAAATTACTTGTTTGTTTTCTTAGTCTCTTATAATTAAAAATAATAATGTTAAACAAAGATCAATAAAGTGAATTTTTAAGAGTTTATAAAGATAATAACATCTAACAGATCATTTGATGTATATACGTTAACTGAAAAAAAATAAAAAATTAGTGAAGTCTAAACTTGCTGTAATATTTCCAAGATTTCGATATTCCAATAATCTATGTTACAATAATTTTGCTGTTTCACATTTCTGACAAATTCACAGTGGAAAATGAACCTGGCACTCAGTAGAGAGATTCATGCCTAACTTGCAACTAATCCGTTTATGTCTCTCTCTCATTTTTTTTCGCTCTCTGGCAGTTTAACCTAGGGGAATTCACAGTGAGATTACATACAGGTAATTTCATCTCGATAATATTTTAACACACAAAATTTCAGTTGTTGTTTTTCTCATGCGCGAAATTTAATTTATTGAAAGGATTTTTGCTTTCGAAACCTCCAAAAATTTTTCAGAAGTTGTTTTTTTTCTACCAGAATTTCTTCGTGGTGGCGGCCAGGCAAGAAATTCTATTTTTTATCTATTTATCCCAGTCTTAATTGCCGTGGGGTGTGATTGAAATTTGCATCATAGTATACGATAAGTCAGGTGACCTAGTAAAACAAGATCGTTCAAGACGATTTAAGATGTTTAGATGAGTACACTTAAAATATGATAAATATTGCCCTCAATGTAATCTATCTTATAAGTTCTAAAAAAGTTGAATTTCAGATGGATACTTTTGCAGAGATGATTTTTGTAATTGATTCATATTTCAAAAACTTTTAACATATCTTTATGCAAAAGATTAATTGTATCTTAGAAGGACCATATAAGACCATATTCTAAAAGTGCTAAAACGGAAAAAACTAAGATATTCTTGTTTTTTTTGCTGAATGTTTATCTTCAAATGGGGATAACCTTTTACAAAAACTGGGTAAGAGAATACGTATTTATGATATGTGTTGGTGACGATTCTTTCGATTACCAATCTTTTATGATTGTTTCAAATAACCTTTTATCGCAATTTGGAGATCATGCATTAAGGGAAAAATTGAACAATTATTTGTTTTCTAGAATTTCAACTTAAGTTTGATCTCTATAACTAAAAATACTAAAAATCCCCTGGAGTAAACTAAGTAAAGAAGAAATCGTGGAGTACAACACGAACAGGAACTACGCAGCACGTACACATCAAAATAAGAAAGAAAATAAAATTCAAAAAAATGAAGTCATTCATTTGTTTACACATCTGGGTAGAAAAAAACAGTCAGATGAACTTGATTTGGTTAACATATTGTAATCTGAAAATGGCACAAAATATATATAAATCGTGTAACCTCTAATGAATGGTCATGCCATATTTTACTAAAGATTTAAGGCAAGCCTTACTTGTAGAAAAAATTGAAACTAAAATAATAATATGTAGGAATTTCCATTTTTGCTCTTTAGACTTCATCTTCTTATGTTTTAGGAGATTGCTATTAGAATGAAGAAGGGAAACAGTTTCAACATTTTCGATAGTTGTTTTTAGTTGTGGTTGAAAAAACGATCTTTACAGTTCATTAATTAGACGAGGTTTTTTTCTGTATGGTGTATGTTCTACTTTGCAATAAAAATCGGAATTATAATCCGTTCTACAGCAATTGTACATGTAAATTACACTGTAATAATATTAGTAGCAATCAAGGTGTCAGTAATTATAAACAAACGATAACCCCGGTTATTATAAAGAAAAAGCATAAAGTTCTATATATATAAGATTGATGAGACCATGAGAATAAAAATAATGAGAGAAACTGTATAGAAATTTATTTTTTAATTACTATTTTTAATTGATCGTGATTCCAGCCCAATACGTAATAACGCATTTTTCTAGTTTCAAATACAATTGTATTTGAATAATTAGTTCAACAGTCACTCGATCAGTTATCAAATTTACAGGATATTTCTATCCGACTCGTATATGTTTCCTGTTTAGAATATTTGACCAAAACCCCTTCTGTTTAAATATTATACTTAATTACTCTTGAAGGTTTTTAAAAAATCATGGCAGAACAATAAGTAGATTGATAATTTGGGACTTAATTTTTTTTTTTTCAGTTAAATAAAATTCTGCAATAGTTATATAACTTTATGTAATTATTATAAAAAATTGTACTGTGTGATATAATTTATAGTAAGTATCTGTTAAACTCCGGTAGTCTCGATGATTTTAGGTGAGGGTCAAGTAGTAAGAACAATAAACTTTAGGGGAAATACAATATTGCCCCTCATAGTAACCATAGAATAAGGTGAATAAAGAAAGAATGAAGGGGGGGTCTTCTTTCTTCCTTTCAATCATAAAAAAATTGGGTGGGAGGAGAAAAATGTCCTCATTCTGGAAAAGGTATAACAGTTTCAAAGATAATATCTAGGGTAAATAGTAGTTTTTTCTTGTGAATAAATACTCGGGGCATTGATTGACAGGTTTAAGAATGTAGAAGTACCCCTGATTTCACGTTTCGTTTAAAATTAGTAATATAGTACTAATAAATTAAGAAAGAAATGTCAGAAATAATGAAAAGGTTAAATGTTTTACACACTGTTTAAAAAATTTTTGAACACAAGAATTCTATTATTTAATATTCTCAACAAAGATCTAATTATAAAATTTATCGCTTATTGAAAGTAAATTTGAACGATAAAGAAACTGTTACGAGATTATTATTCACTAATTTAGTTAAATAATTCAATACCCGCATACAATACATACAAGGAGAACGTCTGCTTCAAGATAAAGTTGAACAGTTTATAGTTATTTATTCTCACAATACAACTATCATTGTCTTAAAAATAGTATTATTCTAAAATATTCTCTGTCAAAATGTTAGAATTAGCAACGTGCATGCAGAAAAAAAGAAAAACGAAGATATTTTAAGTGTGCAGAAAAGTGGGATAAAACAATAGTATTTTTCAAAGTGAAATATTTGACGTTATGCCATCACTAAAGGTCATACGGAGAAAACTCCACCTGGAAAATTCAACTAAAAAAAAAATGGTACGTTTTTATTGTGAGGTCCACATGTTCTCTTATGCAGATAAGCTCATTCTGTTACTTGGAATAATATTTTGTAGGCAGTAAGTCACCACCGAAGGACGTAAATTTTATAGAAAAAAAAATGGAAGAAAACTTATTATTAATTCTTGAAAGAGATAGAACCAGAACAACAGATAAGCTAGTAGACCATTGAGAAAATAAATAGAAATTATGTGATCTTCTTCTATGGATATATCGTTATTTTCTCTATAATAGAGCCGTACATCCCCATATCGAAGAATTTTCAAAGAAGTCTCCGCGGGATAAGACCATTACTATTGTATTTCCGTTAAAATATTTAAGCTTTTCTAAATAACCTTTAAAGGAACAATAGAGAAAAATAAAGTTTATTTTTTCAAATTTCAAATTTCGAAGAAAATCTCAAATAATAAATATAGGGTTCTCAGGGATTACCTGAGTGATCACATTCCATAAGATATATTTCGTTTTACTACGAATGTGGAATAGATATTTATATTTTGTTCAAAGAAAATACCACATTCAATAAAATAAAAGCATTATATTTTTAAAGTTTGAAATGTTCGAAAATAAATTCTTCCTTTTTTCTTCCCTTGAGTTTTCATGCAATTGATTTTTCTTCTTCTTTCGTTTTTCTAAACAGAAGTACGTGTGTACTAAGTCTTTTATTTTATTAATTTGTGTATTCTCACTCTTCGTTAATGGAACAGATTACGATCCAAGTTTACTAATTATATGTAATTCGAGCGATATCTCATTTTTTATTTTTCCTGAAGTTTATCAAAAGTTAAAGTGCTTTTTACTCATTGTTTCCAATTGCGTTCCCACGATTTAGTCGCTATGTACTATTCTGTGGGTACTACGTACGAAACTCTGGGAAAGTTGAGTGGGAACCTTATTTAAATTTGTGCAACAATAATGTTCTCTCTGTCGACTCTTGGTAATATTAATGAAATCGTACTTCTGAAAATTCGTCAATTTCTTAATCATAATAAATATTTAGTTTTTTTTTGTTGTTGATTTTTGAATTGAACAATATATACATTTTTAAAAGTGCATTTATATACTTGCCATATATATGCTAGCTCAAAAGATTTTTTGGGTCTCTTAGTCCCTCAAAAATAAAGCAATCCATCTGTATCAATTGCTCCCACTGTTGATATTATTGATATTTATTATTCTCTTCTCACAGCTTGGATATACATTCAACATATGTTCAAGTAAGTCACAAAAACAAACAAGCTGGAAAAGGATTTACATACTAAAGAAGAGATCATTATCATTAGTTCGAGGGAGTCGACACTACCTCATATCAATTTCATTTGAAGAATCATCTTATAAGCATAAAAATCTTCAAAATACTCTTTTATTACAATACACAAAGAACAAGGGAAAAGAAAACAATATTTCATTTAACCACTCAATACCTAACTTCTACAACACCCAAATAATCGAAAATTAAATTTAAACATCTTTCAAGAGACAAATATTAACCTTTAAATAGTTGTAAGGATAGTACGTCAATTCGAAGTTAACATTAATTGACTTTCAATTTATCAAATAATCAATTAATAGACATACATCATAGCGTGCTCTGATAAGTAGATGTATCATTTGGTATTGCATCAACAATAACAATTCATCTATAGTGCAATCTAATCAAGATGGAAATTACTAATAAACAATGTCTAGAAAATGCATCAAGCTTAGCCTCTGATGTGCACAACCCAGAGAAACTTATACTAAACTATGGTCCGCAATCAATTGCAGGTATAAATGTTCAACAAACAGATCAAGAAGAGACGATGTTTCCATTTATGTATGGACACGATAAATGGCCACATAAAGTGGAGAGGGCCTTCACAACTGCTTTACGTTTAATAATGAAAAGTGGAACATCAAAAATCAAAATTCGTAACAAAAATTATGGTAGGAATGAGTTGATCTCATTGTATATCAGGTATGAAACTGGAGAAGTTAGGACGAAAAAGCAAATATCATCGCATATCCAAGTATGGAAAAAATCTATTTTGAGCAAAGCTTCTAGTAATATGAGACTAACCCCCATGGATGCAGAAATTCTAAGTTTAATTGAAAGAGGAGCAGAGCAAAATAAAGAATCACTAGAGAGATTCTATTCAACTTTTGAAGTAATTATAGATACTCTCTCAAAGGATACCACAAACCATAAATACTCTAAAAATTCATATACTGGTCTAAATGCAAGCGTCACTAAACTTTATCCACAGTCATATAATAGAAACACCTCCTATGGTAACGATTATAATAATATGCCGCCTACAATCATGGATCCTAATATTACAGCGCCAAATACCCATGGGGTTCCTAGGTATCAGTACTCAGGAAATATGAATCCATATGTTGAGCAACAGCCTTCTACTTTCCAAAATGCAAGGCAACTGCGTTACGCACCAATTGAGAACTATAGTGCGATACAAAATGATCCCGTTATAAGATACAGTAATAATGACAATGCTAATAATATAGTTGGTGTTCAAAGAACATATTCTGAATATTACAATGTACCAGTCGAACAAATTGAAGAAAGGTATTCACAACCATATCTTAATAATCACCCAGGCCAAGTATCTGGTGCGTATCAGACGTGGTTTCCAGGTGTGCAGCTTAGACATCAATCCGAGATGAAAGAAGATAATCCAGAGACACAACAGATAGGATATCTGCCACAGTATTCTAGTTCGTCAGCATCTTTAACTCCTCAGGTTTCTACTAACCAGCAGTTAACGAGTATGGGTAAACAAATACCAAACACATATTTACAACCAGTCCCTAATTTCAGTGAGCCTGATCGTGTAAAATTACCACATCTTGTTCAACATAATACGTTTATTGGGAACCAACCAGGTCAATTCAATACGGCATATACGGACGATACTAGAGGCTCTGCCTATCCGGTTGTTCAAAATAAAGACTTTAGATCTACAATAAACGCCCCTAATATACAAAGTAGTACGTCCTCTAATGATGTTACAAGCATAGCACCAATAGTAAAACCGACAATTACGGCCCAAAATTCTGGTAAATTCGTCGAACCTGTCCACGATAGACAAGGCACGAAGGTCATAGCAGCTCTTCATGAGCCATCAATTCAATCAGAAATACCGATGAGTAACAGTAGTCGGATCGTACATACTGCGCCATACTTATATCGAAATTCTCCTGCACAACAGAATTCACAGAATATTCCAATGAAGCAACCAATGGTGATGGTGCCATCTTATCCGTATTATTCCCAAAATATCCCGGGACAAATACAACGAAAAGAGGAAAATTCAGAGTCCTTGCCAGGTATTCATCCAAAATAATGTAACACTAGGTGATGCAATTTTTTTTTTATACTTTCCTTTGAAAGAGGAATAATTAGATGCATCACCAATAACTATAAAAGTATTATTGCTGTAGTTGTTTTTTTTGGTACAGCATGATTGGTTTCAAAATTTCGATATATCTTACCATCGTAAACGAAGACACACTAATCACGAAATGAATTTTGATAGTTCGCAATTTGATATCAAGATACAACATTAGTAAATTTTATTCGGCTACATTATAATTTTATCCCAAAATTGAATATCAAATACACGATATCATACAAATATGTATAGCCCGCATTAATATTCTAGTCATTTGTCATTGTAGATTTCCAATAAAAAAATAATTCATATGTAAAATAAGTATTCTTTTGTCATCTATAACTCGTATTAATAAATTACGTATATAGCAAGTTTTTTTTTGATGGCTAAGTTTCGTTCAATATGCCAAGGTACATAAACATAAATTATTCTGGGTATCTGTCGGCTACGACAACGATTGAATTGTGACCCATGCACTAATATCTTAACGCACTTGAATAACAACTACATCATATTAGCTTATGATTTCTCGCCTCGTCCTCAATCCTTAATGAAAGAAAACATGAGCTTGAACTTCCGTTTAGGTTCATTCGTTATGTATATAGCAGAGCTACCTATTATGTAAAAATTATAGTATATTATAGTATAATATATTATATATAATATTATTGTATATTTAAAATACAGCATGATTAAGTAACACTAGAATGGATTAGATGAAGGATATGAGTTTTTGCTATAAAATAGCACTCTTTATTGAGAAATGAAATTGTTTTAAAACATGAAAAAAAAATACAACAGATGGATCATAAAGAAAATTAATCAATCAATTATACTTAGTTAGCTTCATTCAAAAAGGCTTCTCTCTTTTCAGCGACTCTTTGAGCTCTTCTTTCTCTAGCAGCTCTGTTCTTGGTTCTTCTAGCATCGGCTTCGGAAGCTAGAGCCTTTTCACGTTGAGTGTCAGCCTTAGCTTGAATGATGTGTTCAACTAGAGCTCTCTTGTGCTTGAAAGCGTTACCCTTAGCTTCCTTGTATAGAACATGGTATAGGTGCTTGTCGATCTTACCAGCATCTCTGTACTTAGCCAAAAGTCTTCTTAGAACTCTTAGTCTTCTGATCCAGACGACTTGAGATGGTAAACGGGCTTCAGCAGTACCCTTTCTCTTACCGTAACCGGTGTGACGACCAGCTCTCTTAGCTAGAGCGTAAGCTCTAGTTCTGGACTTGGAGTGGACAGTGACAGCCTTTCTGACGATAGTACCGTTCTTGACTAATCTTCTGATAGCATGTCTGGAGTTAGCTTCAGCAATTTCAGAAGTTTCATTTGGATCTAACCAGACCTTTCTCTTACCGACACCAATGACGGAAGCAGCAAGTCTCTTTTGAGTACGTAAGTTAGCCATTTCTTAATCCTTTATCAGTTTCTCGGTTTCTTATAAATTATGATGAGTTATATTAAAAGTCAGCTCCTATTTAAATAAGGATTTAATAATATCAACCGAATTGCTTGATGTATTGGTTGATGTTCGAGCAGTGTATAGGTTAGTGCTAGATACTAGCATATTGAAAGAATATTGATGCTTGCTGGTTTAGAGAATTCGAATGGGATAAACTACTTTGTGAAAGGTTGATAGATATTACCAACATTTCTCTGCAGATTTGCAATAAAAGTGAAAAAAAAAAAATAAGTGAATGTGCGGGTGACCCCAATTTCTTAGTACAAAGAAAGCGAAAACAGAGTATAGCTAGAATTCACAGATGAGTGTGTGGGGCTTTGCAATGGTGTGTGGGTATGTCGTGAATAATTTCTTCAATTTTGCAGAAAGATACGCGTATAGAAAAAATGAAACTTTGACAAGAATTCGAAAAAATATTAAAAATTAACACAATTTGAAAAACAATATTCGTCAACAATTTAGAAATGTACGGATGGCACTAAAGATGTACGGATGTAGAGATAGTCCGAAAAAACGGAAGCAATTTTGAGATGCTCTCGCATTACAACTTCATCAATTTTTTTCCCTCTTTCTATCTGAGAATTAATGAAAATTTTTCGATGAGTTGCTTTCGGTAGGCGGTGTTTTGCAAGCTTCATTATTTAATTGAAAAGATTAAATAGTTCAATAATTTAAGACATTGTTTTCATCTAAATTAGTGTGTGATATTTTTAAAATCATATACAGGTCATCAAATACTATCATATATAATAAGAATAAAATATGGCAAAGTCTCTTCGTGCATCCAGTCATTTAAATGCCAAAGCTATTAAGCGTAAGGCTGTTTTCCAAAAAGTAGTTGATGCTCGTGAGAGTAGGATAGCAGACAAATTAAAGAAGGATTTGATTGAACAAAAGTTGAAGGAATTGAAGGAGAAAAACCCAGAAGCTGCTAGTACTATGGATGTCGATGATCTTCCTGCACCAAAGAAGGAAGAATCAAAGAAGATAAGTACATCTGGTTGGAGGGATGCTAATCACCATGTTTATAAAAAGAACAAGAAATTAAGAAGGGCCAAAAAGAGAGGATCTTTTACAAAGTTTTAGATGTTTGCATTAGCAGTAATGTGGCATGTTTAGATGTGAGATTTAATTATGGAGTTTTGAAGTTTTTCTATACAGTTTATTAAAGCAGATGTCAATGATTTTAGTAATAGGATAAGCACCATGTTTAAAAATAATGTAGGTGATATCTTATTTTATTTTTTTCAAATATACTTTGGAGGTATATATGAATCTAATCTTTTCGTTTGACATTTCAGATGGTTTATTTCCCTATTATAGAGTAAACTTTTTCTTTTGTATATTATTATTTTATTATTCTTTTATGTAAGGAAAAAATACAGGTTATAATCATAATTCTTAAGTCTCCGTTTAATAGTTTTAAATGTTGATTAACACTAAGACTTTATTTCGCCTCAGATTTTACGTCACAGCCCAAAAAAGTGAATACGAAACAAAAAAATTTATTTCAGTACTATTGGAACCAGTCCATTTAATTGTATAGTTTCTATATATGGTTTATATGGTTATATGAGAATGGGGAAGCCATCTTTAAATAACTATGACGGTTATCCTAAGAGAGTGAATAATTGTCCTTATGATGATGTTCATTCATTAGATGTGAAAATGATTCAAGGGTCAGTATATACGGCAAAATGTATTTGCATTTCCCATAAAATAACTTAGAATGAGCAATAAAATATGATGATTAAGAAAATTAATAAATGCATGAGGAAGAAGGAATATATTAGAGGTCTATCGTGCTCAGCACGAGTATTGATTAGGGATCAAAAGAATTAAACAAACTGACAAAGAAAAATAATGGTCAATTAATGATGCTCACTCGTTTTGATCCTTATTTTTGCATTTGGCTCTTCTTTCTCTTCTCAATCTACTTTGCATCATATAATAGGTTGCTCTTCTAATTATTGTTTCTAATATTTCAGGGTTGTAGTCAGGGTACCTGGATTTTACTCTATCATATAAATTATTAATCAGCTCAATTCTTTCAGTTTTATCAGTATCTCTAATCCATGTTTTGTAACCCAATGGATAGTGTAGTTCGTGTTCAAAAATATGAAGAATATACTTCTCACGTTGTAAAGCTTCTTCTGGAGAGTCCAGGTGTAACACCTGAGCAAGACCCTGTGCGGAGAGTCTCGAATCGGATACCTTTTTCAAATTATTTGTTATACTGGCAATTGTGTGGCTATGGACACATTTCTTTAATTTCTTCTTTGAAATACTTTTCTTTGGGTTCTTAATTTTATTTTCAATTTTCTCCTGTTTCTTTTCTGTGACAGCAGCAGAAGCAGCAGCAGTAGTAGAAAAGATTAAGTTATTTTGAGTTAATAAGTCATCATATGACATAGTAATTGAAGACACTGGTGTCAAAAAATCATCAATAGAATTTTCTTCGTTTGCTTGAGGAAATTCAATAGTAATCTTTGAATTGTTATTAACATCATTGAAAATTGTAGTAGTAGTTGTAGCTGTGTTTTTAGATGACGTCAGAATTTTATTTTTACCGTTGGTCACGAGATCATTTTCTTCGGAGATAGGAGACGCATTGTTATCATTACGATGGTCCTCAATTAAGGAAGATAACGATTCGGAAGATATGGAAGAAGAGAATGATGAATTAGATATACCATTATCCAATTGATTATTTTCTTCGTTCATGTTATAAGAAGACATTGCTGCGACTCCGGTGAAAAAATTTGAAAACATATTAACAGAATTTGTCAATTCAAAATCGTCAGCATTATTCAAGTTATTGAAAATATTATACTCTGGTTCATTTTCATTGTTTATGATATCTTGCTGTAAATTAATATTGTTATTGTTGAGATTATATGAATTTAAGTAATTAATTGGAGAATCTAATGATATTTGATTTAACATTTCATTTTCTGATAAAGAAAAATTCTCGATATTTTGAAATGGCATTATTAAAAATAGTAGGAAATGAATGCAATGAAATAATAATTTCTTGATATATTCTAGGTCCTTGTCTTTATGCTTTTCCTTAATGTAAGATTCTTTTTAAAATTAAACTTTGAAAATAATTAACCAATGTAGTTAAGTAGAGTCAAAAAAAAATAAATAAAAAAAGGTTGAAAAGTAGGATGACAGTTAATTACCGTGTTGTTACCTATTTTGTTAGTCTATTCGCTAGTTTTCCCTTTTTGCAAACTTAGGAAGACTTAAAATGATAGAAATATATATGTATATTTGAATAAGTTATTGTTGTTACTGTTATATAAAATTTCAAGGTAGTAAGAGAAAAAAATAACATAAGGTGAGCGCAATAAAATTAAGAAAGAAAGAAAGAAAGTATTATTATTAAGTTACTTTGTATCCATCTATATATATATATATGTGTGTGTATAACGTTGTAAAAAGTAATGATAATTTTAAAATGAAATATCATTGTATTAAACATGTTCATACTTCAGGAAAAATTAATTATTAAAAGTTAAATCATGGTTATATCTTCTAATCTGTAACAATAGCCGAATAGGTCTTGCTATTTCCTTTTCTTGCATTTTATTTAAAAAAAAAAAAAAAAAAAAAAAAAAAAAAAAAAA